CACACACACACACACACGCGCGCGACACAGAGGCATACATGCGCAAAGTAGGTCATTATACTAAAGTTGCACTTGGGTCTGCATAGGGCTTGCATACAGCGACTTAGTAGAGAGGTATAGCTGGGCCACCGGTGTTTGATTCCTTAGATTGTGTGAGGGTGAGAGTTCTCGCAAAGCTGCATGGAGGTTTATACAGACACGGAAGGAAGTTGTCGTTTAGGCTTGTTTTTGACACCTTTGTGGGTTCCTTAGCGCCTTTACAGATTTGCTGAAATCCTATAATATCGTTTTTCCGCGAAAGACAATTTAGCCCAGGGGCTTTAGGTGCTGTTGTTTAGGATATAGGGCAGGATCTAGAATTCAGGCTTTCCGGGTCAATCCTCCCATGTTTTCGGGTCGAGGGCGCAGGGAGCCGTTTTGATGTGCATTCGGGAAGATGCCTGCCAACATGATTTTCGGATCTCCTTATAGACTGATGGAAGGCCATGGCTGATTGCCGCAAAATTGCTGAACTTGTGTCTGATCATCTTTGTCGCGAGCATCTCGAGGAGATCCGGTAGACGGGGCTCGCGGCTGCCAACCTAAAGTTTGCGTCACAGAATTACCCGCGAACGGCTAGCCTGGGCTAGCTACTTAGATGAACGTTGGTTTAGTGATTGTCTAAACCTTAAACCCTAAACCGTATTAGTGACAGAAATGATGGGAGCTCAGTCCGAGATGGAACTTCCTTCCTTGCCCGCATTCACCAAGGAACAGTGTGACTCACGTTCTTCCGGCCACATTGGCTCCCTTTCAGGACGGCTTTTTGTGAGTTCGAAAGGGCCGCTACAGCTTGGCGGCTCCTGCCAGCTACAACATGCTTCCTACACCCTGAACCCTAAGCCCTAAACCTTAAGCCCTCAACCCTAAACCTTAAATCCTAAACCTGAACATCTTCAATCCGTGGCCCCAGATCCTCAACATCCAAACCCCAAGCCTGACCCCAGTTAGCGCTAGACCGTTGTAGGCCCCAGTCTTACAGAAGATCCGTGGGCCCGAGCTCTCCCTCTGACCCTGAACGCCTCCAAGCTTTCAAAACGCTCATAGCCCCTGGCCCTACTAAACCCAACCCGAATCCCCAAACCCTAACTTTCCCCGCGAATCCTGCGAAAGAGCTCTCCGTGGGCTCTACAAACCCTATACAGCATAAAACCCCACCTGGAGGATCATGAGACTTAGTAACGACCTTAACCCCAAATGACTTACCCTCTTAAGGATTTTATATAAAGACATCATACTTCCGTAACCCTAAAAGGTAGGTTCTTTGGGGTCCAGGTAGGGATACCAAAAGTGGGCAGGCCCTGGCTGTCTATGAGCTTATAAGCTCTACAAACCCTACAGACCCTAAAGCCGTCTATAAGCCCTAGAAACAGCTCTTCAAAAGGCGCTGGCTCTCTATGACCCCTGAACCCTAAACTTACCCTAAATCCCAAAACCCTAAACCCTAAATCCTAAATCCTAAATCCCAAAACCTAAACCCCTTTCACAAAACTCCGAGAGGCCTTGGCTCTCTATGAGCACCTGCGGAGTCTCGGTTTGGAGTCGTCCATCATCGCTTTAAACTCCGCCTGGGGCCTCGGTGGACGTGTTTAGGTTTAGGGGTTTGGAGTTTAGCGCCTATTTAGGGGTTTAGGGTTTAGGGGTTTAGAGGGTTAGGGGGGTTTAGGGTTTAGGGGGTTTAGGGTTTAGGGGTTTGGGGTTCTAGGGTTCTAGGGTTAAGGGTTTAGTCTTAGAGGCTTCGGTATAGCATCTTGTACGGAAATAGGACCCTAGAAACCATTGATGTACACCCCTGATAAAGCCTGCATAAGTACCCCTACTACAGCATATCATACCACAAGACTCTGTGGTGATTATAATTGCCCTATATTAGAAGCCTTAGAACAGGTAGCTGGTAGGCTTTTCGGGGTTCAGGTAAACCCTGAGTTCTGAACCTTAACCCTAAACCCTGAACCCTAAACCCTTTAAGCCTCTAAATCCCAAACCCTAAACCCCCAAACCCTCAGCCCCAAAACCCCCTCTAAATCCGAAACCCTGACCCGCAGCCCTCCGCGTGACAGCTCGGATTGAGAAGCTGGGAGGGGAGCGGAGCAGGGACTCGGGAAGGTTCCAGGGCTTTGTGTAGGTTTTATAGGCGTTAGGGTGTAGGGCTCAGGGTTTGTTAGAGTATGTAGTAGAAACCATAAAGTTGGTACATGGGTTGAGGATGAGTAGTGCAGGATTTTGCTTGAAATGTCCTATAGTAGAAGCCCCAAAGTTGGAAACCCAATAGCCTCAATCCTTAAGAGTAATCTATAGGGAATCCCAGCACTATTTGTCCTTAATCCGGCTTCCAACTGTTTGGGGTTTCCTGTAGATCAAGGGTATGAGGATAGACTTTCGGGTTGATCATGTGTGGGGTGCTGGGGCTCGGGACTCGATTCCGATCCTCCTTTTTCCTAAATGTGTGGGTTGAGGGTTTAGGGTTTAGGGTTTAGTGACTATCCATGCATCTGTCTTCTCGGTAGGTTTCTAGAACAATAAACGAGAACTCGTCGTGACATCTCCGGCGAGTGCTCCACTTAGGCATTATCTCCCAGCTCCGAAATGGGTTCAGGGTTTACAGTTCAGTGCTTGGGACTGAAGGGTCAGCCCTTCATTCGCAGGCATCCTGTGACTGCGCAAGCTGAGACAGCGCCAAAGAGAACGTGAAGACTATCGGAGCCCATTCATCCGCATCGCCCCAAACTTATATACTATGGGGGTCTGAATGATGTAGAGTATGTCCTCATGGTCCTTACCAGAACGTTGATCTACGATAGTATACGACGAACCGTACTCAACTTAATTACTAAGGCTGCTAAGGCTCCCTAAACTACGTCTCCAGTCATGACAGTCGAAACCCCTGTGCCACGAAGCACTGTAGAGGCCTACTTTTAAACGACACAAAGGCGAACAACCTAGACGGACCTAAACTCGTTCCCACTCGAACCCATCCGGAGCTTCACACCTTGAAGCCTTCAGCGCTCCGACCTGAACCCTAGAACCCAAGTCCTAAACCGAACATGAACTAAACCAATCACTAAACCGTAAACCCTAAACCCTAAGCTTTCGTAGAACCGCACTCCTGCATGCGAGCGATGTCGCTGGCATCCCGTCGGCTTCCGGGAACCTCCCTAGATTCTAGAAAATACGCTCGGCATGAAACCTGCCAAAGGACTTTCGGAGGCCGCAAGCAGCTCTTTTGTTTTTTTTGCACCAGGCTTTACAAAGTTATTAAAGAGTTTTATGATGGATCTAGAAAGGCTGTTGCAGCGCTTTCGGGGCTTATAAGACGTCGTAAGGGATTTCCTGCTCTTAGGGTCTATGAGCATCTTACCTAGAAATATTGTTCAGAATATTCAGGGCTAGACTAGACTTTGCAAACGGGTTAAAGTTGCAGCAAAAGGATAGGTATTAGATTAGACTCTGATTCTGCAGGGAGTTTCTGGAATACGATCCCATCAGGCTACAATACCACCCCAAAGTCTCCACAACACCCCCCACCCACTCCCATACAACCCAGCCATCCCAGGACTCGTGCTGGGCCTTTTTGCCCTCTGCATAGGACACGAGCTCTGCTCATGTATCTTCGGTGGCGCCAAGCTTCCACTCTTCACTCAAAGCCCTGTGGAAGAGGAAGCGGCGGAAATACCAGGCCCTCGGGGGTGGGGGGGAGGGTTCAGGGTCTAGAGCTTTGGACCTTCGAGGGTTTGATTGACAGGGTTGGTGTTTCGAACAACTCTATCCAACTCTTCTAGAGCCCTTTGAGGGCGCCTCAAAACCCTGAGCCCCTGAGACAGGCGAAGCTTCAGGACGTGGGGAAAGTGAGCACATCGATTTGGTCATTGCACACTGCGGAGGAGCTTTGGATTGGATCGATTCGTTTATGACAAGGCCGGCTTGCAGGTCCTAAGCCCTAAACCCTAAACCGATCAGTGTCGACATGCATCTCCAGATTACGCAGCTCTAAAAGCCACCCCCGACCTCTTTAACCGAAGCATGGAAGGACGACTGCCCTGCATTATCTAGACCCCATGTAATGTAGTACCCTTATCGGGTTGCCTTGGTTTCTTGTTATAGGATCCGCACCATAAAACCACTGCATTCTAGGGTCTTTCTGAACGTGCAAAAACTTCCAGTACTTTACATAATGCATTCTCAATACGGAACCCTGAAAAGGCAGGCTGTTTAGAATGCTAAACCCCTAAAACCCGAAACTCTGCCACATTATACCCTAAGCCCCAAACCCTAAGCAGGTATTGTCTAAAGACCCACTACGAAGGGCAACCTTAAACCCTAAACCCTAAACAGGTATTGTCTAAAGACCCACTACGAAGGGCAACCCTAAACCCTAAACCCTAAACAGGTATTGTCTAAAGACCCACTACGAAGGGCAACCCTAAGCCCAAAAACCTAAACAGGTATTGGCTACGAAGGGCAACCCTAAACCCTAAACCTTAAACAGGTATTGTCTAAAGACCAACTACGAAGGGCCGAGAGCCAGTCGTGTCCGGTTTAGGGCTTAGGCGAATATGGGTTTATTAGGGCTGTGTAGGATGATTTAGGGGTTCAGGCGGAATTTAGGATTCTGCAGGGGCCTGGTTGCACCAGTTCAAACCCGCTCAAGCCGCTGCAACTGGAAAGCACGCAACCTCAATCTGACAACCCGTATCGACAGCTTTCTAGGATCATAGTAGCATCCCCGAACCTGTAACGACAAATGGCCCTTATCATGCCCTTATAGCCACCCACATGGTGCGCCGTATGATGCCCTTATCATCGTATATGACAGTGTATCATAGTATGTCACAGTACATATATTATACCATCTCATCGTATGTCATATAACACAGTATATCATATCATATCATGGTATACCATAGTATACCATCGTAGATTATAGCATATCACACGAGGCCGCTCTCCAACGTCTCCATCCTCAGCATGTGCGGCCAGCCAGTAAGCGGCAAAGTTGCTGAGCAGTTGAGCTCGTAGGTTTCTTTGTTGTTTTTCTTCCGGGTCTTGTTAACAGACTTAGTTCAAGTTACCATGATGGGGGTGTATTGCAAATAACTTAATTTGGCTTCCATGTTCTGGTGATTCAAAAACTAAGTTCCTTAAGAAGAGCCTGGTCTTGGGTCTTGGGTTGTTCGTCTCCTAGACGCGGTTTAGAGTTGCAGGATTTAAGCTTCACAGCCTTTGTTGTGAGACTTGTATAGGGTTCTTACACAGACTTTAGAGTTTGCAAACTTTCGAACGGTTCCATAAACAAAAAACAGTCACCTGCACAGTGGAGTATTAGGTAATAGGTCGGAACACAAACCCACTGTTCACTTAACTCCTCTTCTAGTTATTGTGAGGCTTGCATAGGATTCTTACGGCTAGCTGAGCTCGTGGACTTTGATTTTCAGGGTCCACACTTTTTTTTTATTCTGAAGGTCGAAAGTTTAGCTGAACATCTAAGGTTGCCCAACATCCGCGGACAAAGACCGCAGCGCTGGACAACAACGGCTACCAAGTTGCCTTAAGACCCAACCCCCGAAGCCCTAAAGCCTTTCCACCAAAGAGCTCTAAGCCCAAACCGCCCTCAAGCCCTTGAATCCCTTTAGTTAGATCCTGCTGATGAACCCTCAAGGCTTGTTGAATTGGAGGGGCACCGGTTTGGTGTTGAAGTTTGAGGCTAAGGGTTTGGGGGGGGGGGGTAGGGTTTGGAATGACAAGGTTTGGGATTTAGGGTTTAGGTTTTAAGGGCTCAGGACTTGAAGTTTCGGGCTTTGGGTTTTTGTTGTCGAGGTGATATAGCTTCTGCCGGTTTTTTGTCTAGTTATTCCCGCGCCTGGGGTGAAGTAGTAGTCCACTGCCTTTGATAGGGACCCTGATTACCGTGAAGGGTCGTACGTGGCACGTCCTTTTCATGTGTGATTGATAGACTCGGCTGAATCCTGATCTACAGTTGGCTATTATTTCAAACCCAAATACCAAAGCCTCGTTAGGTACTTTAAACCCTCAGGCACGGTTTGTTGCTCGTGGGACGTCTTGTTTCCGGGGGCTCCGAAGCCACAACTTGGGTTTACGCCTGAAGAGCCCGCCCGAAGCATTCGCTTCAGGCTATCACTACGCTTTCGCGCACTGGTTGTCGTCGCAGGGGAAGCACATGCCGGCCGATCGGCACGAAGACGACCTCATTTTGCAGCTTGTCTCAGTGTGACAGTTGGGAGAGCGCCCGGTTAAACATATTTTTCTGTGTTACATAATACGGGGGCCTAAATAATTACCTATACTATTTGGGAGTTCCTTAGTATAATTATAGTATATGATTTACCCCAAAACCCTATTCTGTATTATGGCCCGAATATTAGTCACCTGCAGCATGGCTCGAGGTTCACCTCCGACCGCTACCTGCGCAACATCACCGTGCCACTGAAGGACATGATCGCTTCTGAGCCGAGTTAATATAAGGGGTTTAGGGTTTAGGGTTTAGGGTGGGGCCCTAATAATTAGAACAGGGCTTGGGGGTATGTTGTACTATGATTATGATAAGGAGCCCCGAAAACCCTATTCTAATTCTTAAGGCCCCTACATTAGGGTTCTTCGACGGGTTCTTGGAAGACTATAAGGATTCCCTCCCTGCAAGGTCTAGGGTTTTTTTGGGGTTTAACTAGGGGTTTTTGATTTTTCAGATTTTTGGTTTTAGGGCTTTAGGAGTGTTTAGTATTCACAGGGCTCGGGGCATGATCGTCTCTCGGGAGCCGGGTTGGGGTGCTTGCAGGGTCTCGTAGGGCCGGATGGGGCTTGATGATTTTATGTGCCTTCTGTAGCGCGCCGATCTAATCTTTCGTGCCTGCTGCCTTTTAGGCAAAAGGGCCCAACTCCGCAGCTTTGAGTCTGTTTTAGATTCCAAGAACCACACATTGGGCGACTTCTATCCTGATTTCTGAGCATGATGTCGGGATTTCACTAAAGAAAAGCTCCACAAAAACACAGCAACTTTGAATCGCAGGGTCATTACCATCAAAACAGGTCGCCGTAAGTTTGAGAGACCCTCCGTGTTTGTTGGTCTGTTACATTCCTCAGAAGGCTAGGGTCATTCGGAAGAATTACAGCCCTATCCCCACCTTGTGACCTAAATAAAACCCATTGAACCAAGTGAAGCTTACCACAGCCAACCCTCTGTTTTTTCGAGGTTGTGTATGGGCTATAGTTTTCTATGTTGACAGTTTTGGGGTTTCTTATGTAGTAACTTACTTCCAACCTGTAGAAGCCCAAAGGCAAAGCCAAAGCAAGCCGCAAATCGTCTACTTGAGATGTGAACAACTCAAAGCACGGCCGAAACAGGGACATCCATCAACTTAGGGTCCAGGGTTGTAGGTTTACAGGTAATAAGGGCTTGCAGGGTCTAGGGTTTGCCGTCATGAGCTTTCATTATCCTAAATCCTAAACCCTGAATTCCGGCTCGTTCCGGAATCTTTTCGCTCCAAGCAAGAGCAACGGAGCCCGTCATAAGAGCCCAGGATGCGGCACAGGGTCCCCGGTTCGCGTGTGGAAGAAGGATCGGGGATGGGAGCACAACAGGATGTTGATTTATGGTTTGCGGGTTAGGGTTTTTTTAGGGGTCTAGAGTTCAGGGAATCAGGTTTGAAGTTTGTTTCGGTGCTTCGAACTCCGCAGCCCTAATTCTGAAGAGTTTTGCTGCTGCTGGCTTCGAAACCCCCTAAACCATGAACCCCAAACCCTAAAAGCCCTAAACCCTAAACCGTTTTCGACTTTAGTAAATAAGAAGTGGAGATCCGATGCTCATTCATGTCCATGGTCTCACTCTTATATGGCCCAGTGAGACCCGAAAAACCTGAACTCGAAAGCCTAAAGTCTCAATCCCAGGCGTTGAACTCTCAAGCCTCCACCTTACATCGCCAAGCACAAGCGCCGAAAGCCAACCCCCGCTTCAAATCTCGTGCGTATGCCTCCTTGAGGAGTCGGGGACCTAGTAAGGAGGCAGCATGTTGGTGTTGTAAGTCTCACAGTCCTACAAGATGCCACGAGAACTTGAAAACACGTATGGCATCCTTCAAAACTATAAAGCCAAATGCAGGCTACGAAGCCCTCTAAAGCCTGAGAACGTCGATATACAAGCTTACCAACAACTTGTACAAGTCGTTTACAACCCCCCCTTAGTACTAAACCCTAAACCCCTAAACC